TCTCTAGGGTGTGCCCCTGTGAACCCCTTCAGGGAGCATGACCCCCAGTTGGCATCTCTGACCCCAGGCCCCCAGTCCTGAGGGAGTCTCTTCCTCTGACCCTGGGGGCACCACTGTCCAATGTCCCTGACCCCTGAAGCATGTCTGTGACCCCAGGAAGCAAGTCTGATACCCCCAGCCTCTCTACCCCACCACGGCTGTCCAACCTGACATCCAACCCTCCTCGTCAACCTCCTTCCACTTCACCCCACCATCCTGAACCCCTTCCTAAGACCCACTTCCCCAGCTCTGCCCCACAGATCACCCTGGATGGCTCCTGCCAGTTCCCCCCCGCCGTCCTTTGCCCCCCTGCTCTGCATCTTACTTTGTTGCTGCTCTGGGTGTGGATGAAGGTCAAGTCATCCATGGTCAGAATGATCTTGTTGGGCCCCTTCATCAGCTGGGCATGCAGGATCCGGCGCCTGCAGGGTGTGGAAATACAGAGACATGGGGAGCAAGCCCCGAAGTGTGGGGGGGCATTGCACCTTCCCCCAGACTGCTGGGAAAGGATGGGTGGAGCCCACCTTGGGAAATGGGGGGACCTCACTTAGGCTACCTTCCGTGCTGGGCACTGGGGCACGGAAACACCAGACGACCCCCCCCCAGGATTAATTAAAAGGGGGAGTCTATGGAGCTAGTAGGGCAGCAGGCATGAATGTGGGGCCTCCCCCGAGCAACCTCTGCCTGTCAGTCCCAAGAAAAGCCAGGAGACTGCACAGTTGTCAATACGGTCGTTAGCCCATAGTTAGTGATAAGCAACAAGGATCCAATATGGCTACCAATTAAGTCATCAGACCATGGCAGGATGGGCTGGATCCAACATGGCCACCAGCACAGCCATGATCCCACAATGGGATGGGCCAGGGTCCAACATGGCCATCAATGACACTATTAGTCCATAGCAGGAAGTTGCCCACTCCAGCTCTGCCGGGCGAGCTGCTCCCAGCACTCACCTGATGTAGTAAGCAAGAATCGTTCCCCCAACAATCAAGCTGGAAACCAGGATGAACAGGAGCAGGATGAAGCTGGGGTCCACCCCTACAGGGGAGAGAGAGCAGGGGCGGGGTTAGCAATGGAAGGTGGGAGAGACTCCAGTTCCCCCACCCCCACTCAGGATCAGCCCTCCCTCTCCCCCTGAAACCCACACAGGGATGCCCCCGTTTCTCCTGTCCCCCGCGATCCCCTACAAGGGGTTTCCTGTGTCTCAGCCCCCTTTTTTTCCCAGTTCCAAGACCCCCAAAAGTATTCTCCTCGTCTCCTTCAATCTCACCCATACGGACCCCTCCTCTTTCCCCCTTTCCCCTCAGCAGAACTCCTCTTCTTTCCCCTCCTCTGTCCCAAAAGGACACCCCATCACTCCCCACCACCCCACGGATGGAAGGAAGGCAGGGGAAGGGGATTCTCTGACTATTGGCCACATGCTCAAGTGGTCATGGGATAATTAAAGCTCCAGACCCGAGCAAGGACGTCCCAGGGCAACTGTCAGGCATCAAACTGGGCAAATCCATGACCAGCTGAGGAATTCCCGGCTGGTGCAGAGTAACCTGCTCCAAAAACACAGGCTCCAACCAAAGGAAATCTCCAGGAATAGGAGCAGTATAGGGTCTATGACACACAGGGGAGGGGGCTCTGTGCCCAGCCAATAAAGGTCAGCTCAAACTAAAATAGCTAGTCCATTGCATTCTTAGTGCACAGCAGGAAATGCCAGGATCCAATATGGGCTCCAATGTATTAACAAGTCCACAACAGGAAGTGCCAGGATTCAACATTGCCACCAATAAAGTCCTTTGCCATGAACAGGAATTGGACAGAGACAGACAGTTTGATGCGTGTATGGAAATGGGTGGAAATGCGTGGGGATGCGTGATTGGACGGAGAGGTGGGTAGAGGGACAGACAGATGGGTGGGTGTGGGGAGGGCGGGACAGACGGATGGATGGGTGAGTGAGTGAGTGAATGGATGGACAGATAGGTGGGTGCATGTGGGGATGGGTGGATGGATGAACAGATGGGTAGATGTGCATGGGACAGATGGATGATGGATGGGTGGACAGACAGATGGGGGGTGCATGGGGATGGATGGATGGACAGATGGATGCATGGATGGATGGGTGTGCATGCAGAGGGATGGATGGAGGGATGGATGGACAAACAGACTGGAGAGTGCATGTGGGGAGGGAGGTGGATGGACGGGTGGGTGCACGGGAGATGGATGGGAGGTTGTCGGGTGAATGCACATGGGGATAGATGGATAGACGGGTGGATGGACGGAAAGACGGGTGGGTGGGTATACATGAGGATGGATGGGTGGCTGTGTGTGGGGATGGGTGGATGGACAGTTGGATGTGTGTGAAGATAGACGGGTGGATGGGTGGATGGGTGTGCATGCAGAGGGATGGATGGACAGATGGATGGGTGGATGCACTTGAGAATGGATGGATAAAAGGACAGGTGGGTGCAGAGGTGGTTGGGAAGATGCACATGGAGACAGATGGCTGGACAGATGGGGGATGGGCGCACATGGGGACAGATGGCTGGACAGACAGACAGATGGCTGGAGACAGACAGATGGCTGGAAAGATGGACAGATGGGTGCGCATGGGGACAGACAGATGGCTGGACAGATGGGTAGGTGGGTGGGGGCGCATGGTGACAGATGGCTGGACGGACGGGCTCATGGGTGCCCGTGGGAATGGATGGGCGTACGGGTGCATGTGGGGACAGACGATTGGATGAACGGGCAGAAGGGGGCGTGTGACATTATTGATATAACCTGTGACCATATAGATCATTGTTGCAACCACTGTTATATATTTGCAGCAAATATTGTACAAAGGTTGTCGTGTAAGGTGTCTATGGAAAGGTTATAATTTGCTGATTATGATTATGCTATCTGTATGTGTGTAGCATTTTTGTAGTTGAAGTTATGAATATTGGCTATGTACTTGTATATCAATGTGTTTTGATTCTAAGTAGCCTCAGTGAAACATTTGGTCAGCTTCTTGAGAAAGGACTATTCTCAGTAAGTGCCCAATCAAGAAACACTTAACTGACAATGGACTTTGGGAGACACCAATCCACATCTGAGCTTTCCTGGGAACATTCAAACTAACATGTAAACAATGGCGTCCGCCTGCAAACTGAGTCATGCATGGACATGTGACTTGCCCATGTGACTCCAGGCTCCATCTTGCTGCTGTGATCGTCCACAGGACAGAGGATATAAAAGGCTGCTGCATCTCCTCCATCTTGTCTTCAATCCTGCTTCTTACCTCTGGAGGGACTTTGCTACAAACTGAAGCTCTGAACAAAGGACTGAATGACCCATCCCAGCTGTGGATGGACTCCAGAGACTTGATTTGAACCTGCAGCTTATTCCATCACTGCTACAAGCCTGAGCCAAGAACTTTGCCATTACTGTATGTAATCGATTCCATTTAACCAATTCTAGCTCTCATCTATATCTTTTTCCTTTTATGAATAAACCTTTAGATTTTAGATTCTAAAGAACTGGCAACACCGTGATTTGTGGGTAAGATCTGACTTGTATATTGACCTGGGGCTTGGTCCTTTGGGATCAGGAGAATCTTTTTCTTTTACTAGGGTATTGGTTTTCATAACCATTCATCCCTATAACGAGTGGCACTGGTGGTGATACTGGGAAACTGGAGTGTCTAAGGGAATTGCTTGGACTGTAACTGCCCTGCTTTAAGTGATTTGTCCTGAATTGGTACTCTCAGTTGGGTCCCACCAAAGCGAGCATCATTACAGGGTTCATGGGGACAGATGGCTGAACGAACAGGTGGAAGGGGGCAGGTGGGGACAGATGGCTGGACAGACAGGTAGGTTGGTGCGTGTGGGTACGGATGGCTGAATGGATGAGGGGGTGGTGCACGTAAGAACGGATAGATAGATGAACGGGGATAGATGGATAGATGGACAGGTGGATGGGTGCACATGGGGATGGATAGCTGGACAGATGGGCAGATGAGTGCACATGGGGATGGACAGATAGACGGACAGGCAGAAGGGGGTGCGTGGGGATGGATGGCTGGACAAATGGGCATGCGTGGGGACGAATGGCTGGATGGACAGATGGGCGGATGGATGCGCATGGGAATGGACAGCTGGACAGATGGACGGGTGTGCATCAGAACGGATTGCTGGACGGGCGGGCGGGTGTGCCTCAGAACGGATGGCTTGATAGACGGGCAGACAGGTGCGTGTGGGGACGGATAGCTAGATGCACAGGTGGAAGGGTGCATGTAGGGAAGATTGGCTGGACGGACAGGTGGGTTGGTGCACGTGGGAATGGATGGTTGGACGGACAGGCGGACAGTTGCGTGTGTTGACAGATGGCTGGACCAATGAGTGGCCAGTTGCACATGTGGACAGATGGCTGGACGGACGGGCGTATGGGTTTGCGTGGGGACAGATAGCTGGACGGATGGGTGGATGGGTGCGAGTGGGGATGGATGGCAGGGCAGATGGGCAGACTGGTGTGTGTGGGGACAGATGGAAAGACGGACAGGTGGATGGGTGCATATGGATGACCAGAGGGGTGCTCGTGGGGATGGATGGATGGACGGACAGGCAGATAGATGAATGAGGTAATGAATGGCTGGATGGACAAGGGGGTGCATGCGTAGGAATGGATAGATACACGGACGGGCGAGTGCACGTGGGGACGGATGGATAGACGGACAGGTGGATGGGTGCACGTGGGGATGGATGGATAGATGGATGGGTGGATGCATGCATGTGGGGATGGATGGCAGGGCGGATGGGTGCACGTGGGGACAAATGGCTGGAAGGACAGGTGGATGGGTGCACATGGGGATGGATGAACAGACGGGTGGATGGGGGCCCGTGGGAATGGATGGCTGGATGGATGGATGCACGTAGAGATGGATGGATAGACGGACGGGCGGATGGGTGCATGTGGGGATGGATGATGGAAGGACGGGCAGATGGGCGCAGGTGGGGATGGATAAACGGATGGGTGGATGGGTGCGCATGAGGATGGACGGATGGGCGGATAGGTGCATGCAGGGATGGATGGAGGGGTGGATGGGTGCGCGTCAGGACAGATGGCTGGACAGACAGATGGATGGGTGCATGTGTGGACAGATGGCTGGACAGACAGACAGATAGGTGGGCATGCACGGGGGTGGATATCCGACTAGACAGAAAGACAGACCAGATGCGTACGGGGAGGAACACATCGGGAGGCCGGAAGATAGATGGCCAGACAGCGAGCGCTCACCCCCGGAACAGACGGACGTTGGGTCGAACCAGCAGCTCGAGTCGGAGCTGGGGCTGGCACTGTGGGGCCAGTGGATGGTGTGCCCCATGTAGCGCAGCCCCTCGGGCCCCGTGGCCACGCTGTAGGTGGGCCAGAGACGGTTGCCTTTGCCATCTGTGTCAAGGATGATGTAGCTCACCATGGGGTCGCCGTCCTCGTCGGCCGCCAGCGGCTGGCAGAAGCCATCCAGTTGGAAGTCCCGGGCATGCTCGGCGATGCTGGAGCCCATCACCCAGCGGCTGGCCTGACGAGTGCGCTCCACCGCCTTGGCCAGGTAGTAGATGGAGTTGTAGATGGTGCCGAAGAGCGGGTGCACCTGGGGCCAGAGGGGGAGCGGGGTCAGGGGGAGCGAGGGCAGGTTGTAGGTCTTGGCACACACCCTCCAGCATCCCAACAGTGCTGTATCCTCATTGGCCACAGCTGGGCGCCAGTTGACTCCGCATTAGCCACGCCACTCCTTTCTACCTCCCTATTGGCCACGGCTGCACATCAGCCAACTTTCCTGCTTTCATTTTCCTGCTGTTTCCCCATTGGCCACGTGTGCACCTCCATTCCACCTCCCCATTGGCCACCCCTGTGCCCCTCCATCCCACCTCCCCAATGGCCATGGCTGGGCACCTCCATCTCACCTCCCCATTGGCCACCCGTGTGCACCTTCCGACTCTGCATTGGCCACAGCCATCTCTTTCTGTCTTGCCATTGGCCTCAGCTGTGCACCTACTGTATCCCTATCCTCCCCTCTTCTCATTGGCTCAAGACCATAGCCATCTTGTGCCTCCATTGTCTCAACCCTCCCACCTCCACATTGGCCATGGTCCCAAGACCCCCTACCTCTCCGCCCATCCCAGGGTCACGCCCAGCACCCTATGGCCTGTGCCCTCTGTGTCTGGTGCCCACCTGCGTGGGGTCCAGGTGAGCCGGCAGCTCATGCGCCTGCTGGGCGTCCTGGAAAGCCTCGCGGAAGCTGCGCTCAGGGGCATCGATTGTGACGGTGAGCACGGCGTCGTAGGCCAGCCGCAGCTTGGTGTTGTTACCCAGTACAGGGTAGGGAGTCCGGCGGTAGGGCAGGCTGTACATCAGCGCATCGTAAGGGATGAAGACGAAGGTGCCGTCCGTCATGCGCAGGTCCTCGGCCTTCTCCAACAGGAGGCGCTGCTCCTCCCCACCCAGCAGCACCGAGTGCATGCACATCACCACCACTGTGGGGAGCGGAGGGCATGGGGGACAAGGGGACATCAGGCGGAAGGGGAGGGGAGGAAGACACAACGGAAGGCTGAAAAGCACCCAAGTGAGAGCGGTGGGTGGGGCTGGCCCCCAGCCCTCCTCAGCTTGGGATCAGGCTTCCCCTTGCACCAAGACATCGGGATTCCACCCATCACCCCACAGGGTCCTCTGACCACCCATCCCCACACACTCCTCTATTCCCCCCATGCCTCTGTCTCTCCATCCATCCCCACACACCTCTCCATGTGTCCATCCATGCCCCACAGGCCCCATGCATTCATCCACCCCACACACCTCTCCATCTGTCCATCCATCCATCCCCCACACACCTCTCCATGTGTCCATGTCTCCATGACCTCTCCTGAGGTCCCTTCCAACCCGGATATTCTATGATTCTATGTGTCCATCCATCCACCCCATGTGCCTCTCCATCTGCCCATCCATCCATCCCCCGCACATCTCTCCGTCTGTCCATCCATACATTCCCCCCACACCTCTCCATGTGTCCATCCATCTCCCACAGGCCCCATCCATCCATCCACCCCACATGCCTCTCCGTCTGTCCATCCATCCATCCCCCACACACCTCTCCGTCTGTTCATCCATCCATCTACCCCCCACACAAACCTCTCCATGTATCCATCCATCCCCCACAGGCCCCATCCATCCACCCAACACACACACCTCTCCATCTGCCCATCCAACCATCCCCCCATGCCTCTCCATCTGTCCATCCATCCATTCCCACACACGCCTCTCGGTCTGTCCATCCATCCATCCATCCATCCATCCATCCATCCCCCCACACACCTCTCTGTCTGTCCGTGCATCCATCTCCACACACTCCATTCTCTATCCATCCCTCCCCATGCCTCTCTATCCACCCACCCCCATACAAACGTTCTTATGAATTTATCTATCTATCGCCCCTGCATTTCTCTGTACGTCCATCCCCCTACACCCACATCCATCTTCTCTCTCTACCTAGGCACCCAGCCCCTGGTAAATTTACACATCTCCAGGCCAGAGGGCCAGCAGGACTGGCCAGAGCCCAGGAGACCTCACTGAGCCCTCCCACTGTTGAACCCGCAGCTTCCAGCTCAGCCAGCGTGTCCCCTTAGCCTTGAAAGTCTCCCAGTGATGGGGCATGCTCCCTCCCTGGGGGCCCGTTCCCAACAGCTGATCCCCCTCCCAGGACAACGTGGCCCCCTTAGTTCTTGTCTGAATTTGTCCAGTTTCAGCTCCCAGCCATTCCTGACCCAGGAATCCTGGCTCCTCTGCTCTAACCACTAGACCCCACACCCCTCCCAGAGCCAGGTAGAGATCCCAGGAGTCCTGCCCCTCCCCTGCCAGCGTACCTCTGACATTATCGGCCCTCTGCACCTTCCGCAGGGCATTCCAAGCCCCATCAGCCCCGGGCTCCATGGTGGTCACCACGCCCACGGGCAAGCCAAACTCACGCAGGGAGCTGGCCAGGCCCTGCCCCACCTCCACCCACAGGTCCTGCCGGGAGGTGACCACAGCCACGTGGGCCCAGCGGAAGAACTTGAGGACAGCGTAGAGGACGGACGAGGCCCGGGGCAGGGGCCGGGCAAAGGTGCCCCACCGCTCCACCTCGGCGTCCCCGTTCAGGCAGGCCCAGGAGAAGACAGGCTTGTTCCAGGCCCGGCCCAGCAGCCCGGCCGCCCCGCAGGCCCCTGGGTTGAGTGGCCCCACGAAGCCCGAGGCGTAACGCTCGGCGTTGACCAAGGCCACCAGCACCTGGCTGGTCTGGCACTCCTCGTTCAGCAGCATGTAGTCAAACCAGTAGCCCTGGTTCATGGTGGGGTCTCTGTTGAGCCGCCCAATGGCCAGCTGGGCAGCCACCTCGGGCAAGGCCTGGGCGAAGATGGGGTCACAGGTCCAGGGCCCCATCACCCCCACCTTGAAGGTGGCCGGCTGGACCCAGGCGGGCCAGCCCAGGAGCAGGAGCCAGAGCAGGGGAGCCTGGGGCCGCCGTCGTCCCCACCTGGGGTGGTTGGAGAGGCGCAGCAGGAACCTGTGGAAGCCAAACCAGGCGGGAGGCATGGCTCAAGGGAGCCGGGGGGGCGGCCACAATGTGGGGAGAGGGCACCGGGCTCTTTAGCCCCTCGGGGGCCAGGCCCTGGAGGCTCGGGTGGAAAAGGGTCCAGTCACTGCGCCCAACATCACGGGAGGAGAGGTCGCTGCCGCCGGAGCTACGGGGAACAGTGCACCTGGAAGAGAGAGGAGACAGGTGTCAGAATGAGAGACAGAAAGTGGGGGAGCTGGGAGCCAAGACTCCTGGGTTCTCTCCCCGGCTCTGGGAGGGGAGTGGGGACTAGTGTTTAGAGTGGGGGGGCTGGGAGCCAGGACTCCTGGGTTCTTTCCCCAGCTCTGGGAGGGGAGTGAGGTGTACTGTACTGTCTTGCTACCCATCTTACTGCCAGGGGCAGTCCTCTTGTTGCCAGTGGCAACCACCCTACTTCCAGTAGTGGACTTCTTGCAGCTAGGACCACCCATCTTACGGCTGATGGAGACCATCTTGATGTCAACAGTGACCACAGCACCAACCACAGCAGCTGTATTGCCAACAAAGGTGGCCATATTATTAACAACAGTGGCCACCAGCCATATTATCATGAATGGCAGCCATATTGCTAACAATGGTGGCCATATTCTTAACTTTGGTGGCCAATCCCCAAGGGACTGTGCATAAATGACACAACATTTAGTGGGTGGGTCCTGACTTTTGCAGGTTTGTTTCAGCATCGCAAAGCGTTACAAGGGGTGGGTGGCTCTTGAAAATCACCAGAAAAGCATGTTGCGTCATTTATGGCCAGCCCTCCTAACATGTTGCTAACAACAGCGGCCATATTGTGTACTGTAGACATACTCTTAACAACGGCGGCCATATTTGTGAATAACAGCAGCTATATTCCCGACCTGCTGGCAATATGGCCACCAGAGGTGGCCATAATGCTAACAATGGCAACCATCTTTCCAGCGCGCAGGTCCCACAGCCTGTACCAGCCCACCATGACCTTCAAAGAGGCGTCCCTTGCCTTGACAGCAGGCAACCCCATCCCCCCATCCCTCCCGCCCCACATGCATGGGGCCTTGCATGGCACGTTTCCACGGCAGGCCAAGGCGAAGGGTCACGGCGGGCGAGGACAGCTGTCCTGGCCTAAATCCACCTGATCTCATCAGCCTCGGCTGGTATTAGCCAAATGACGGCGACACGTGCCGCCCGGCACTTCCATAAACCTGCCCACTCCCCTCCCCCCCAATCCTAATCCCCCAGATGAACTAAACTGGGATTAACCCTTTGGCCCCAGCTGCCCGGTCGCATTAGGTGTGAAGCAGCCCAATGGCCCAGGCAGCCACGTGTGAGCTCATCTCTGGCAGCCCCAGCCTGCATGTCGCCTGCCCCACGTGGATGGGCTGGCGGGGGGGGGAAGAAGCCACGGGCAAGGTGGGGAAGGATGGAGGGAATGGATGGGTCACCGGGGGAGGTCAGTGGTGACCTTGGTCCTCAGTCAGCTCTCGGCCGAAGCAGGGAAGAGAGCCAGGGAGAAGGGCAGGGGCTCAGCAGGGGGTGCTCTCCCCTGGCAGGCAGGGCTGGCCCCAGGGCAGCACTAGGGGGTGCTGTGCTGCAGGGAGCGGGGCAGGGGGCTCAGCAGGGGGTGCTGGGTTGCAGGGAGCGGGGCGGGGGCAGTAGGGGGTGCTGGGCTGCAGGGAGTGGGGCACTCTCCCCTGGCAGACAGGGCTGGCCCCAGGGTGGCACTAGGGAGTGCTAGGCTGCAGGGAGCAGGGTGGAGGGCTCAGCAGGGGGTGCACTCCCCTGGCACTGTGAGTATGAGGCTGGAGGAAACCATATGATTGTCTAGGGTAACCTCCTGCATAGCACTAACTAACTAACACACCCAACCTCTGACATTAAACCACGGTATCCCAGCCCTCAGGTGACTCAACTGGCCGAGAACAGGTGAGACCAAGGTGTCCTCTGTGCCCAAGGCCCTGCCACAGCAGGGAACTGACTATGTGAGACATGCCCAGATGAGCCCCACGGGGTATCAGCGCCCTATGCTACAGAGGAAGGCGTAACCACACACCCACATGGTCCCTGCCACTCTGACCCAGGGGGGAAATTCCTTCCCAGCCCAAATCAGGTGATTGGCTGGATCCTGAACCTGTGAGCAAGACCCACCAGCCAGGCTGCTGGCATGAGGATTCTCCGAACCATGCCTCGTGTCCCATCTAGGCTGTGTCCAAGTGCTGCTGCCTCAGAGGAAGCAAGCACACAGATGCATGAACAGCACCAGGAGACACCAGGATGGGTACCCTTCTTGACCCTTGCAGCTGACCGGCTGAGGCCCTGAAGCATGAGCATTAGAACATGAGACCTAAACCAGGAGGAGAATGGGGGTCCCAGAGGTTGGCAAGCCCTGCCCCCGATCTTCACCAGCAACCCCCTCATTCAACCCCCCTCAGATATTTCTCTAGCTCTTTTGCAAAATGAATTAAGCCATTTGGCCCCCACAGCATCTCATGGGAGGCTGGTCCAGACCCTCCCATCTCCGGTGGGTAGAAACCTTCTGCTCTCTGGCCTCCACTAATCCCTGGCCTGTTTAGCCCCATTCGTTCTGGTGCCATTACCCTAGGAAAGGCCCCCACGTGCCCCCCCCATGTGTCACCTCTGTCTTTGGGGACAGGGGTTCAAATCTCCCTCAAGGCTCCGTGTTTCCCAGCATCCACCATTCAAGACGGATGTTGACAAATTGCCAAGGATCCAGCATGCTTCTGTTCCTGGTGTGACCGCTGCTGGAATCCTGTGCCCAGTTCTGGTGCCCACGGTTCCAGGAGGAGGCAGGTCAATTGGAGATGGTGTGATGGGTTGGGTCACAGAGACCCCCTTGGGACTGCCACCTGATGTGATGAGCCCATTTTCCCTGCCAGCTTGGGACTTCAGTACCCTGCCTTCTTGAGCCATACACACCAGCCTGCTACAAACACAGACCCAGATCTGAACCACATCCCCCAAAAGCTGCAGACTTAACAGAAAATGGCTTAGAAAGTGCTCCTGTCTCTAGCACCCAGATACCCAGTTCCCAATGGGATCCAAATCCCAAATAAATCAGTTTTACTCTTTATAAAGCTTATACAGGGTACACTCATAAATTTTCCATCCTCTATAACACTGATAGAGAGATATGCACAGCTGTTTGCTCCCCCAGGAATTAATTGCTTACCCTGGGTCAATTAATAAGCAAAAGTGATTTTATTAAGTATAACAAGTAGGATTTAAGTGGTTCCAAGTAATAACAGACAGAACAAAGTAAATTACCAAACAAAATAAAACAAAAACATGCAAGTCTAAGCCTAATACAATAGGAAACTAAATGCAAGTAAATCTCATCCTCAGAGATGTTCCAATAAGCTTCTTTCACAGACTAGACACCTTCCTAGTCTGGGTCCAATCCTTTCCCCTGGATAGGATGATAGAGGCCGGAAAGGGTAAGATGAGGGTGGCAGAAGAGTCGTACCTGGGCCACAAGGTGGAAAGCAACTGCCTAAAGCCAGAGGCAGCCAAGGTGTAGGCAACCAGAGATTGGCCCATTCCTCAAACCAAGACACAGGTCTCTAATGGGATGGCAGGGTACCAATGAAGGTTTGTACCCCACTTTCGCTCCCATTACGAAGATCAGTAAGTTGGACAAGCCAGATGAGGTGGTCTGGACCGAGCTGTGCCAGCGGGTTGCTCTGTGCGCTGAAGGAGGCTCTCACCCAGGGGCTGGGGCTGGTAAACCCAGACTTGGACAAACCCCTTTAGGATGTTCACCGACACACCTCAGACCCGGGGCTGGGTGCGGTGCTGACGCAAGCCAATGCGAAGGGGGAAAGACACCCCATTGGGTACCTGAGCAAGAAGCTGCTCCTCCCGGGAGCAGAACTATGCAGCCATAGAGAAGGAATGCCTGGCCCTGGGATGGGCTCTTAAAAAGCTGCAGCCAGATCTATTTGGGTGGCTCTTTATGGTGTACACTGACCACTTGCCCCTGACCACTTGCCCTGATGTGGCTGCACTGAATGAAAGGGGCCAATGCCAAACTCCTACGGTGGAGTCTGATCTGCCAGGATGTTCATATGGGGGTGGTCCATGTTAAGAGGAGTGCAGATGTTATAGCTGATGCATTATCCCGGAGATGGGGGGGCCTGACCTTCCCCAGGTCACTAGCTGGAGTGACCCTGCTCGGTTCAGTCTCGAAGGGGGGAGAGATGTGAGGAAGTTGGGGATTTTTGTAGTGTTTTATGTGAATAGTGTGTGAACGCCTCAGTTTCCCCTTGTGCTGCATGTGTAACAAGGTGGTGGGAGAGGGTTTGTTGTTGCAGAGGACCAGGTGTGACCTCGCCTAGCAGCTGGGATCCCCAGACAACGGCGTGGAGATGGGGAACACTCACAACTGGTGACTAAGAGGCCCTCCCCAGTTTGGCAGTCAGCTGGTTCTGGCCAGCGGGAGGACAAAGGGCTGAGGAGAGAGGACCCCGGTGACCTGGTGAGCTGGTTCCCACCAGAGGGGAACAAAGTACGAAAGAGAGAGAGCCCCAGTGACCTGTTTACTTGGGATGAGAGACAAAGGACAAGGGAGGAGCTGTTGGGGCCGGTGAGATCAGATGCCCAGCTGGGTCTCTGGATGGTAGAGAGGAAGCAGGCAGAGCCCACCTGGATCCAGGGGAGACTTAAATGTACTGGGCTGAGGGAGGCCAGGCCTGAGGCCCAGAGAGTTCCCTATGCTGTGTTCAAACGCTCAATAAACCCTCCTGTTTTATGCTGTCTGAGAGTTGCTCCGGTCTAGAGAACAGGGTTTCATTATTCCCTCTGGGAGTGGAGGCCCCGGGGGTCCAGAAGCGAGTGGACTCCCTGAGCGGCCCACGGCGAGAGACAGGCATGCTAAGGCTCAGAGAGGTGCGGTTCCAGGAGGTGGAGGGGCTTAACCCCCTAGAGAGAGTGGACCCCCAAGAAAGACTGTCGCACTGAAGAGGGTTCCCCCCACGGACCGCAGGGGGCCAAGAGTGGGCACGACCTCTGAGTCTGTGACAGGGGAACAGAAGGACAGAGAAAGGGGAGTGAGGGGCATGCACAGACAGAGAAAGGGGAGTGAGGGGGATGGATGGACAGATGGAGAAAG